ATCTGCAGATTGGTAATTATATCACTTGAATTTCATCACTGTGATTGTCATTTGCTGTCCATTCATCCCCATGAGGTGTAAGATACACACACCCACATGCACACACAAATCAAAACAATCTTGTCTATCAGGACACAATTACTTTGAACTTTACAGCCACGTTATGACTTTTTAAACTAAAAGTCTAAATGACAACTAACAGGCAGAGGTCAAGGCCAAGGAGAACAGTCTTTTCTTAAGTTTCTCCTATGAACTCATCTAATCTAATGTGACAAATATGACACTGTAGTTACAGTTGAATTTTTCTCCTCACTTTCCCTCTTCCCTTGTAAGACAGTCTCATACAGCGCGCAGGCACAATAACAGGAAATCCTGAACAATACCCTGCGGTGTGCTATGTGTTGACCCTGTGTTAGAGAGGTATTGGCTCAGTTGTATAGCAGGCCACATAGTGCTGTATTGGATTGCATTATACTGTAAGGTAGAAGAAAACATGACTAAACAAACATACTTAAATTTTGTAAAGCAAAGCTGTAAGCAAATACTGGGCAGTATAATTAAAGAATAATATCCACTAGTCTACATGTGCCCTAATGTCTATAGTAAAGGTTACCAAAATAACATAGAGATGATAAAAGCTTGTTGCTCCTAGTATTTGATGTGTAGAAACAGACAGAGGAAAGTGGCAAGTGTAATTTTAATGGACCTTTGACTGCTGTCAGCACAAGGACAGAGGAGACAGTGAAAGGCTGTTTCCACACATTGCGTAAGTAACAGTTAGTAAAAACAAATGTTAATTGTGTCCAGTATTTTATCAGAGGACTAAAACTAAATCAATATCAGGTGTCAGAATTAAAATGGGATTCATCGGTAACACATCTCAACCCTATGCAGTTTGCTTATTACAAATATTTTAGACTGCCATTAGTTAATTAGTCTTAAAATCTCCCATGACCCTGTTTGATTCTTGACAGTGGTATGTATATACAGTACAGGCCAAAAGTTTGGACACACCTTCTCATTCAATGCGTTTTCTTTATTTTCATGACTATTTACATTGTAGATTCTCACTGAAGGCATCAAAACTATGAATGAACACATGTGGAGTTATGTACTTAACAAAAAAGGTGAAATAACTGAAAACATGTTTTATATTCTAGTTTCTTCAAAATAGCCACCCTTTGCTCTGATTACTGCTTTGCACACTCTTGGCATTCTCTC